ATAACATGTTGTGCATTTTGCAAGTATCTCATAATAAAATTGAACTTCCGTGTTATCAAACAAACAACATAAAAGGTAATTATTAATAATTTAATACACAACATCCATTCTTCAATCTCACCATTGTTACTTGCAACGAATACCACCTTTCTCTCCAACTAATTGAACTTTCGACTAAAAATTAAGATCTATGCAACAATGTGTCTGTCAAGCTTCTTCAGCAACTGACATAAGTTAACATGGTACAAATTCAGTTCAGATTAGGTGGATTGTTGACACACGTTACACAGGTTAGGTGCACAATCCAATACGCGCTTGGATTAGCCAGCTGTATCTGTTACATCTTCTGCATCTGTTTCTCCATCAATCATCGCCGTCTCTGCTTCTGTGTCTGCTTCAGTCTGCCCTGCTTCTTGAGCAACATCTGTATCAGAGCTTTGCTTCTGATTATCCTCTGGAGTAGGAGTTTCTTCCTGAGATATGTTAACAGTAGCTATTCCTGCATCTGTATCCATGGGAGCAGCAGATGCTTCAGGATCCGCTTGGCCCACTTCATTGTCCATCTCACTTGGTGGTGTTGCAATCTAGACAAGATTAAACGAAAAGAACCATTAAGAGCAGAAAAAAGGAGGACTAATGAATTAGAAATCCAAAGAAATTGTATTCGTTTCACCATTCGCAAGCACAATCTCTATTTTAATTTAAAACCAAGACAGGCCAGAATGAACTATAAAAGGCGATTAAAAAATTGTTACATAATTGAAGTGATACACTCTAATTTGGTGAGCTTTTGACAAATGTGAAAGTTTAATGTTGTGGAAGGGTATTCTTGTTTATATTGTGTGCAGACCATGTGGCACACAGGACATGAAAACCTGGGGAAATTTCAAACACAGAAAGATGCTTGAGTCTAATGGTGAAGCCACTTACTATCTTCAAGTCAGCACAGAACTGCCACAGGGATTAACTTGCAGGAAAAGAAATGGAAACTGGGAACATAAGCAAACATAAGGTACCTGATTTTCGTCTGCTTGTTGTGCTGAGTTTTTTGTGTCCTCCTTCTTAGTCCGCTTAGTCCTTTCGCTTGGTTTAGCTTGATATCTGGCCCGTACTTCATTAGACAAAAGCTCCAGAGGCACTACCCCCTCAATACCATGTTCTGTAAACTGAAAAAGAACAAGTAACATATTGCATTGAGAATTTAATAACATTTAATGATAAAGACTTGAAATCACACCCATAAATTAGCTCATACTCTGGAAAATCCTTCCAAGTCTTGCCGGGCTGAAAACCGCAAACCTTTCCAACAATAGACCTGGATAGATCCCAGGATATCATTACAACATGCAACCAACAAAAAGAAGTCAAAGAAATATGCATCATAAGCAGGCATAAAGATGTATGATGATATCAACCCAACAATTTTCTCCGTGGGTTCTCCATTATACTTTATAGATCACGTATTACCTACTGCTATATGTGCCATCTTCCAGATAGCACGAGAACAAATATCCTTATTACACCTGCCTAGAAGGTGTATGTTTGATCACCACACTATCCCAACAAATGAGCAAGTATATTGGGAATACTCGTCTTTAGGTGAGAGAGTGAAAGATTAGGTGTGCTCATAGGAACATTTCTGACAGAACATCTACGGGTTCTCACCCCTGAGGGAAGAACACTTCTGATGAAAACTCAATCCCAAACTAGCTGGAGTATGACTACATGCATTCTCTGTATTAATTCAGCTCCATTCTAATTTGATTATTAACTGGCTGCCAGTCTACCGCAAGAATCCGCCTCTTTTGTGACTAGCTATTTCTGTGAAGCTCATATGTGTAGAGTCTACAATTGTTGAACAAAATGTGTAGGGTTTACACTTACAATGAATACCTGAAGAATTTGTAGTACAGAATTAAAAGAAATAGTAGTTATAATAAATCCCTCAAGTATATAGCGCTTTAATACTTCATATTCAAGCATAAGACTCATTTATCCCCTTTGGGCTGACCAGTGGAGTGTGAACAGTGATGTGACTACTCCCTCATGGGTTGAGAAATAAAACTTCCGGGATGAGTTTATTGACCTCCATGGTCTGGCAAAAGAGCAAGACTGCCAAGAAATAGTAAGACTGTCCCATGAACTTATCCTTCTCACATAAATCTCAGTTTCTGCATTAGTAATAACCATCAATTATTTAATTCAGAATACGTCATCTGGGCCTCTCTATAATATCCATCTTCAAGTAAGCCAAAATTTATCTAATAGCAAAAAACTTTATCTTCTACTCTCTCTCTCATATCAACTATCTGGCTCCTGGTCTGGGTTTATGAATGGCATGTTGAAGACTTTGTTGATGTTGTTCAATAGAATGCAAAGAACACGTTTAGTCACTCGGAATGGACTTCACAAGTGAAAAAGACTAAAAAGTAACCTACATGAATTTTGTAGGAGTAAAAAGGAAACAAGTAAATAAATTTAGAGGAACTACTACAGATTGCTCGTAAGCAAATACTATTGCAATGAATTTAGCACGTGCCACTTAAGTACTGTTTAGAAACTGAAGGGGCAAGAGTTGATCATGTGATGGAGTAAAATGACAACTTAAGAATAATTCAAGGGTGTAGCACCAAAACATTTCAACAAAATGACAGCTTGGAAATCAAAAGTACGCGACTTCTGTTCTCATTGAAGTTATGAACTATCAGCTATATCTGTATATCGAGACAAACCTTTTCCTTATCTCTTTTTAACTGAGAAAGTGTTTAACTTTTTTTATCTGATGCAAAATCTTTACTTCGTCCAGCTTTGAGGTTTATACAAGTCCTGTATATTTTATTATTAGGTGCCAGTCCTGCATATATATGTAGAGATAAATATATGGCAACACAGTTCTTTTATATTCTAATGTAAATGAGCTTTAGCTACTTCTTTTTATCTGTTGAATGAGTTTTAGCCTTTAGCTACTTGCGTGCATATATACTTCGTTATGAGTTGATCAGTTCGGCATAAGTATAGATGATTATGATACAAAATGACTCCTAATATTTCAGTGAAATACATCAGAGTCAGCTAGAATTCTGTTGCTACAATGTCTTCTTTTTGAGAAAAGGTAACTTGTATTATAAACACAGGAATACTCAGGACGTATTCCAGTAACACTTGCAATCAGAAATACAAAAGTGTTGTTGTTTTCCTATGAACTCATTAAGGACTCTAAGATACTAGGGATATCCTCATCTTCATGAGGATATTCATGTTTACACCAAAAATAGAAAAGAGCTAAACATTTCAGCTAAACAATGTCTTCTTAAACATGCCATTATTGGAAATAAGAGGTCATTTGAGCTGTAACCAAGAACAAAATGCCATGGTGGTAAGAAGTGTAGGGAAAAAAACAAGTAGAAAAGATGAACAGACTAACCCGATTGTTTTTGTGATGGTATTCTGCTTCTATTCCAGCAGATTCATCCATCTATCAGATCAGAAGAGATAAAAATCAAACTCAGAAATCAAGGAAATACTACAAAGACACCTGTTCCTACTGCAGCAAAGGGACTAACACAAAGTAGACATTAGAGGGAACATCTTCTGCAAAAGTTCTCCACTTGTGGGATTACACTAGGTATGTTGTTATCTCCTGCAAAAGTAACTTTTCTAAAAGAGAACTAATGGATGCTTACATCTTCTGCCAGAGGTTTCCAGTATTTTGTGATAGCGGGAGTGGACACACGTTGAGCATCAGTTAAAGCACTCTGGAGGAAAAACAGAAAAGAGATGTTTATGTCATTAGCATTCAACGTCAAAATGATGCTCTGTCTTCTTCAGAGTCCAGATGCCTTGGATAAGACATGTTAGAAACTACAAATTCATATTTTTAGTTTTTCGGAAAATACAAATTCCAAGTCATGGAATAATTATTATTTTTTATAAGGTAAAGGTTAAAAGTCATGGAATAATTAGAATGGAAGGCTAACGGGTTGTTAGTCAGAATTTGAGTAAAGAGTGTGCATATCTGTAACTGACATCAACTTTGGCACACACCACTTCTTATTGAGTGTCATCTCAATGAAGGGACTACGCTGGCACACACCACAGTATGAGTCGGTGTTGTGTGTACAAAATGCATGTAAAGGACGCAGATCATTTACTATAGTGTAATTTGCAACAGAACTGTGGACCTTAGCATATGATTTTGTCAATGAAAGAGTTCTAATTATTTTGTGTATCATTGTGACAGTATCAGTAAGTTCCTCATACAGCGCCACAGAAAACTAATGTGATAAATATCTTGCTACAGGGAATCATGCAAGCAGCAAGTAATAAGTTAATGAAAAACAAACCGAATACTGATCAGCCCATTTCCACAATTGGGAGAGTTCTCTGTTTCCAAGACTCCATCGTGGCCGACTGCAAGTAAGGAAAAAAGAATACAGTTAAGTATCATCTAAGTTATGGGTAAAGGGGACAAAAAACAGCAGCAGTTTGAATTCTTGAAAAGATGATCAGCTAAGTAGAAAGGTTTAGAAGGAACTAGGAACTAGTGACTAAACATATCTATTTATTCTCCTTGGCTTCTCAAGGCAGAATACCAAACTTTTTGTCGCTATTTGGTTACATAGGCTGCTGAGGGTGGGATAAACAACTATTCCCGGCAGATGGGTCCACAATGTGTTCAGGTGAAATAGGCCATAAGGGCACAGTTTAGCAAACAATGTCTTGTTCCCAACAGGATTTGAGAAAGCACAATTCAAATTGCTGAAAGACAGCTGAATGACATCATCTACAATAGAGATGTGATATGCATACATAGTAATTTTAAAACAAATTATACAGTTACCCAGTGCAAAAGCACCAAATATCACAAACCAACTAAAATTCACAAAATTGAAATATTTACAAACTGTTGTGTAAAGAGTACTCCTCCGACCCAATTTATGTGATATTGTTTGATTTGGCACGGAGTTTAATTTTTTAATAAGGTAACTTGGTATGGAGTTAAAGGGAAAAAAAGACTTTTGAAACTTGTAGTCTAAAATAAGTCATAGTTGTTTGTGTTGCTATAAATCATCTCATTCAGGGTAAAATGGGCATGTTTAAGTTAAATAGCAACTAAATATAGAAATGAGTCATTATTTTTGGGACTTATGTAATACCCTATATTAAAATAAGGGCATAATTGTCATTTAGCTCTCATTTAAAAAAAAAGGGGGCTGAAAGCCCTAACAGAAGCAGCAGCAACGCTGCAACTTCAGCGATCAAAAGAAAAAAAAAGGACTCTTCTTGTTCTATAGTGAGCGAACGAACGAAGGAGAAACATAAATTTAAATTGAAAGCCTTGGCTCTCAAACTAAAGAGAGAGGTGGAAGAAGAAGAAGAATGAGAAGAAGGTAAGTTTCTTAACTTAATCTAAAGGTTGAATTTGTATCTTCCATGACTATAAGATTGGGAATTGGGAAGTTGAGAAACATGGGTTTAGAAGAAAAAGAGGAAATTTATCTCATTCTTATGAACCAAGTGAATATAGTCAATGATTTGAACTGTAAACTTTGGTATTGGGCTTATATGCAATAAGAGTAATTGGGCAGTAAGGTTAGGTTGATCTTTTTACAGCGAGAATTGACCAAGAAGAGACTAATGTGTGTGATTAAAGCACTAATTAAGTGATTGGGCAGATTTCGAATCAGCCATGAAACCTCTAGGGCTGGGTTTTTTAAAAATGTAGTATGAATTACCTAAATGAAGGAGTTAACACGAAATTATTATGAATGTGATTATAGATTGACCAAAGGAATTCATACGGAGTAATCGAGTGGCAAGCTTGGTAACTCAACACAAGTACTGTGAGTAGTAATCTTACCACAATTGATGTTTTATAACTTGCATGACTTTCACATGGTTTATAAAGCAAATGTGTTACTGAATGTTTTAACTTGCATGTGGGACAAGTCTCTTACTAGACTCAACACAAGTACTGTGAGTAGTAATCTTACCACAATTGATGTTTTATAACTTGCATGACTTTCACATGGTTTATATAGCAAATGTGTTACCGAATGTTTTAACTTGCATGTGGGACAAGTCTTTTACTGGATATGATACTGAAAAGATCATTTGAGATGAACTCATTCTTACAAGATATGATTACTGATATTGAAAAGGTTTTACACTTATTTGAGAAATAGTATTTTGACAGGTGATTGTTAAACTTTGAAATGTTCTGATTTGGTAAGATATAAATGTTCTATCTGATTTTGAAATGCTTCTACAGATTATAAAAAAAAGTATAAATGGGAGTAGACCTTGATGAATCCCGTAGCTAACGGCGGGTTCATTAGACCTGGTGCACCTTGTAGTTCTGATTACTAGATTATAAGAAAAGTATAAATGGGAGTAGACCTTGATGAATCCCGTAGCTAACGGCGGGTTCGTTAGACCTGGTGCACCTTGTAGTTTTGATTATTGATAAAGCCCTTGCTAGTGGGAAGGTAGAACTAGTATACTGTTACTGATATCCCTCGAGTAGGGATCTACTGATATGAATAATTAACTC